TGTGTGTGTGTGTGTGTGTGTGTGTGTGTGTGTGTGTGTGTGTGTGTGTGTGTGTGTGTACCTTGCTCTGCAGGAACTTGAAGCACTGCTGGTTCAGAACTTCTACAAACTCAGATTCAAAGTCCTGGTCACTGTACCAGGCCCCGCCCGTCACCGAGCGGTCCGGCTGCACGTTGTAGAGCATGTAGACCTTCTTCTTAGACGCCTGAGACACAGAGACACACAGAGACACAGGTCCAGGACAGGTACAGAACCAGAACCAGACCAGGTCCAGGACAGAACAGACTGTGACCAGTCCACTTTCAGGTCCAAGAACAGGGGACAGCTGAGGGACAGACCTGAAGTCTGGACCTGTTCAGGTTCTGTCCTCTGGGTTTTGGACTGGTTCTGGTTCTGGACTCACCGCCACAGACTTGACAGCCTTGATGAGCTTCTTGCTCTCCAGGTTCTTCAGGATCTTGTTGATCTCGGTCAGAGGCAGGTTGCTCTTGAAGCGGATGTCTCTGCTCCAGATCCCTGCGGACACACAGACCAACAGAACCACGTGACAGGTTCTGACCCGGCTCCAGAGACACCAGGGTTCTGGAGACAAACAGCCAGGAGCTTACCTTTGTTTCCTGCGTCTTCAATGATCTGATAGACCAGTTTCTCCTGGTTGTCAGAACCTTTCATCTTACTGGAACAGAGACCCGAGTCAGACCAGAACCAGAACCAGGTTCTGCTCTACAGTGTTTTCTAAGCTGTTTGTTTACCTGGAGTTCTGAGAGTCCTTCAGTCTGTACAAGAGACCAGAACTGTTCCTCAGCAGGTCCAGCTGACCCTGGAACAGAGGATTTATGAGACGGACCAGACTGAGGTGGACCAGGTCCTCAGGACCAGGTCCTCAGGCTGAGGTGGACCAGGTCCTCATGCTGAGGTGGACCAGGTCCTCAGGACCAGGTCCTCAGGCTGAGGTGGACCAGGTCCTCATGCTGAGGTGGACCAGGTCCTCAGACTGACCTGGGACAGCAGCTTGTTGATGGCCATGGCTCTCTGCTGAGGCTCCAGGTGAGGCAGGTCGTTCTGGATCACCTGGTCTGTGATCCCCTGAGGAAACTGCTGACACAGTTCTTTGATCCTATACACACACACACACACACACACACACACACACACACACACACACACACACACACACAC